TATTTTTCAAACCATTTCAGATTTCAAATAATAAAGAATAAATGGAAATCAAATCACTTAAACGTTACTGGGCCAGCCCGAACGGCTTCGGCGGCCCACGACTGTGCGCGCACACGGCCCAGAACGACGCAGCCCATCTCCAGTCCCCTCGCAGCAGCGGCGGCTGACAAACGGGGCCCGCATGCCAGCGAGAGAAAACAGGGGACGGAGAGGGACGACGGCGCGGCAGCTGCGAAACTCGCCGACGGCGAGGTCCCCAGCGAAACGGAGGGCACCAACGTGCTCCCCATGCCAAACCGCGTCAGATAGAGGTGAATAGGGAGGCGGTGCGGGGAAAAAGCTCAACCGACGGTAATGGCGGAGGCGGCGGCGCGGCTAATCGCCAGGTGGAGCATCTCCGCCACGGCGAGGTGCAAGGAGGCGCTGGGGAGACTCAACGTCGCCGTCAGGCGGTGCTTGTCTTGCGTGAAGTCTGGTAGGAAGAGGAGCTGGGAGGGGAGTCCACGGGAGCGGAGCTCACCAATGAAGCTTCGGCCGTGCTCGGCGAAAGCAATTCCCAAGAACGGGATGCTTACCACTGCAAGAAGCGAGAGCACGGGTGCGCGGGGTGACGGCGGAGTGTAGGCTAGACGGAGTTGTCACCGGCGAAAGGAGGTGGCTGGGCGAAGCGAGCTCGCAAGGCGCGGTGCACAGGGCGATGGCGGGCGCGCAGTGAGAGGCGAGAGAGGCAAGCCTAAGGCCGGTGGGGGCGAACGCCGGAATGCGGTGGGCGCGCTGCAGGTGCTCAAGACTCGGCAAGACAGCGTCGGGAAGCCTGTGGTGCGTGTGGTCATGCGGGTCGAGCTCGGCGACGGGTGGCGCCACGCGGCGATCGGCTTCTGCTTGGCGTGTAGCGCAGTGTGTGAAAAGGGCGAAGAGGCGCGGCGTGGGCTGGGCTGGGCGAGGCGGGCCTTGGGCCAAGCGCGTTGAGCCTGAGCAGCCAGTGTGGTCTGGCGCGTGAGGGGGCTTTTTGGGCCGGCTTGCGGGTTGGGCCGAAGGCGGCGGCGTGACCCGAAAAAAGAAAAAACTCTTTTTCATTTATATTTTCAAGAATTTTTTTAAAAGCCAGCTTTCAAATCTTATTTTGAGTAAGAAGATGACCTCTTTTGAAAATGTACCAAAAATGAAAGTTGCTTAGAATTTAATTCTCTACAACTTTGCTTTTAGGACCACAGCCAAATTCTTTCTAGATTTTGAATTGGAAGATCAAAGTCCACGTTTAGCTCAAAACCCTAATTTTTGGAATTTATTTTTGAAGCCGAATTTTGAATTAATTTGAATACAAACATTGCTCCAAAAATTGAACTAAACATTGCTAGATGATTTACAATAGCAGCCAAACATGTTCTACTAACCTAGCAAGCAAGAATCAGAGCAAAACAACTCTAATAAGTGTATGCATCATTTACGTTTCACAAACATGTTTCGTATGTTTCGAAGTAATGTTTCAGATATTATATGCAAGATTATTCATGTATGATTAGGATGCTTGATGATGCATGATATGCATGATTTGCAGTGCCTAAATGTAGGCATAACACCGGGGTGTTACAAAGATCAAGACAAGACTTGGCTTGATGGACCGGTTGCAAGCGTGAAGGGCAAGTCAAAGGCTTTGGAGTGATGGACCGCGTGGCGGTGAAGCTTGAGCAAGACTTGGCGCCGATGGACGATAGCAACGGTGAAGAGCAAGTAGAGTCAAGATCGATGAACCAATATGATCATGTGATGATATGAAGTGGATCATATCATTGTTGATCGTGTTGGTGCATGTGTTGCATCGACATTGAAGGAGATGGAATGGAATGCGCAAGGCAAAGGTATAACCTAGGGCATTTCATTTCACCGGTCATAGGTGTGTAGAGAAGTTTATGACTGGGTTTAGGATAGATGGCCGTACTATCAAGAGGGGCAAACTTGTTTGCATATCGGTCATCTAGTGCCACTCGAGTGATCTAACTTTGCATTGTCGCTAGGATCGTGTGGCGTGGCAAGTTGAGTGGCTAACATCCTTTGGGAAATGATTGTGAAAATGCTAACACACATACACATGGTGGTGTACACTTGGTGGTGTTGGCACATTTACAAAGGAGGTGGTGTTTGCAGGGGTGAGATGGGTTTGTGTCCCTCTCTCCCTCCCGCCGAGCTTGTGAGGCGGGATTCGGCGCTTTCGGGAAAATAGAATGCCTATTTTCTATTGCGCCGGATGCAAGTTCTTGTGGTTAGCACATTGGAGCAAGGGTGATGAAGTTAGAAGTGAAAACGAGTTAGTCGCGAAGATCTTTGGCGTCGGTCAACCGACCGGACGCTGGATCTGAATGCACCGGACGCCGGCGAGCTGCGTCCGGTCCGTAACACGTATCGATGACGCAGAAGCTAGAGTGTGACCGACGGCTGGCTGCGTCCGAATCAAAATGTGACCGGACGCGTCCGGTCGAGGTCGGTACTTTATTGAAAGCGACCGGACGCTGGGGTTCAGCGTCCGGTCGGTTGAAAGTCTGCGTCCGGTCAAGTCAAGTGACCGTTGGAATCGGACACGTGGTCGTCTGCGAGGGCGACCGGACGCCGAGGTCCAGCGTCCGGTCAACACGACCGAGAGCGTCCGGTCGGCCCGACCGCTGCCCGATGAAGGGGTAACGGCTAGTTTAGCCCTTGGGGCTATAAATAGAAGTGGCCCTCGGCCATGGTAGGGCCTGAGCACCTCAAGGGACTTAGTGTCCATGCTTGTGAGTGCTTGGGAGCCCTCCATCACACATATACTTGATAGTGATCATTCGATTGTGTGAGTGAGCGATTCTAGTGCGATTGCATCGTGACGTTGCATCGAGTGGCACTAGGTGATCGAGTTGCGAGCCGGTGGTGCTTGTTACTCTTGGAGGTTGTCACCTCCTAGACGGCTTGGTGGTGGTCTCCGTCGAAGCGCCGCAAAGAAGCTTGTGCGGCGCTCCGGAGAAGTGCTTGTGAGGGTACTTGTGCTGCTCGCCCAGCGAAGTCGCGAAGAGCAACTTTAGTAAAGCGTGTCATTGAGCTACCCTCACTCAAGGGGTAGGTTCTTCTGCGGTGCCCGACGTGCGGGCTTAGCGGGTGATGCTAATTAGCCCCGAACCACCAAGTGAGCGGTCGACACAACGGGGACTAGCGTGTTGGCAAACACGTGAACCTCGGGAGAAAAATCATCGTGTCAACCTTGTTCTTCCCGTTGGTTTGCATCCCCATTACACAAGCTTGCAATTACTTATATATATATATCTTAAGCTTGTGTAGTTGCTCTTGTAATTAGATAGCTTGTGTAGCTAGCTAATTACCTTCTTGCTTGTGTAGCATAGAAGTAGCTCCCTTGCGTGGCTAATTTGGTTTTAGTAACCTTGTTAGTCACATTGCTTAGTTTGTGTAGCTAAGTATTTGCGCTCTCTAATTAGGCGTTGGTTGCCTTGTTATTGAGCATTGCTAGTGAGCTTAGTTAGCTTTGTGCTTTTGCTTACTAGCATGTGTAGGAGCTCCCTTGTTACTTAAAGTACTAGTGGCATAGGTTTGTGTGACTTTGCTCCTAGAATTGTTTAGGAGAGCTCTAGCTAGCCCGGCATCTTAGTTGCTTTATTAGTATCTTTGCAAGCTGCTAGCGAACATATATAGAGGGGTGTAGTCTTGGCTAGACCGATTGTTTTAATTCCGCATTTATATCGGTTAGCCGACGCGATTAATTTTAGAAAAGACTATTCACCCCCCCTCTAGTCCGCCATCTCGACCCTTCAACTGTTGGCTTAGCTCACAAGGAGACAGCCTGTTCGGAACTGTTGGCTTATTCGTTGCTGATTCGTGAGGAACAATATTTCCAACCCGGAACCGTATTTTTGTTGTCGATGGATCCAGTCGTCAGCAGTGGATTCATTTTGGTGTCGGTTGTTGAAACAACCAAGGCAGCATCAGCTGAATTTCCTGGAAACTTCGGAGGTGTCACTCAACAGCGACGTCGTACGCAGTGTACATGAGTTCCAAGTTCACAGAAACTTCCAAAAGCTTGTTTTTTTTTTTGCTACAACGAACATGCATGCCAACAAGGTTTTGGATATATGTGCTTAACAAGGTACATCTTCGATACCTTATTAGCAAGTGCCCCTGTAACATAACAGTTGACATTGGCAATTGATTGCATTACCATTTCCACACTCATCACTGAAGCAAACAACATCCTATTGTTTGATAAATTGATACTAGCTAGTAGATAGATAGGCAGGCAGGTGTCCAAGTGGTCACTGCTCAGAAGTCCTTCTTGTGCGCATGAATAATAATGTTCAAAGACGTGTAATATTAATTAGCATCAGTTATGGTCCAGCGCGTTACGTTCCGGTACGTCATTTCTTAATAACATGATGGACGCGTTGATATAGTCGGGATCGATCTAGAGAGACATCAGCTTTGTTTGCACGCTGTACACTGCTCTCGCTCAATAATATATATAATAATTGCTTCTTCGATCTGGCATACACTAGCTAGCCACGCCACTAGGACCGGACTGGACTGAATTTCTCAGGAAGTTGCATTGCATGCAATCGAATTAAATTAATTAAACAATACGCACCGGATTAGCATTATTAGCAAGAGGAAGAAACCAGCAGCAGCAACGAACGAAGGCAGCTGCAGCAAAGAAAAGCCTGCTAGCTGATTTGACGAACCACGCGCATGCAAACTAGTACTACCATCGATCGAATACCACACGCGGACACGGCAAGCACCCCTTGATTGTTTGGCCCCAGCAGTACGTACGTGTGAAACGAACATGAACATACATATAAAAGTCTGCAGATGCATAGTCATAGATCAGCAACCATATCCAAGGCTTTTGCCCTATATATATCTTGCACACAAGCGTCATCGACCTCAGCTCGATCTTAACACAAAGAGTTGTAGAAATATATACTGCTACAAATTAAGCTAGCATAAGCACGCGCACGTCGATCGTCATGGAACGCGGCCTTAGTAAGCATCTCCATGAACCGTCATGCTTCGACGGCGACGACGTCTTCCTCACTCTGTCGTGCGGCTCGTCCTCATCCTCCTCCTCGGAGGCAGCAGCAGCCACGCCGGCGGCGCAGCTAGCGCCGCCACGTGTGCTACCTCTACCTGGTCGCCGTCGCCGGCGGCGAGGGAAGCAGGCGTCGTCGTCGTCGTTCGAGTGCCGGACGTGCGGGCAGGAGTTCCCGACGTTCCAGGCGCTGGGCGGCCACCGGACCAGCCACCTCAGGCGGCCGGCGACGACGACCAAGAAGAGACCGCGGTCGTCAAAGGCGGTGCTGGTCCACGCGTGCTCGGCGTGTGGGCTGGGCTTCTCCACGGGCCAGGCCCTTGGCGGCCACATGAGGAGGCACCGTGGTGGGGCTGGGGAAAGTACTACTACTACTACTACCGAAGAGGAGGTGGAAGGCAGTGGTGGGCCTGATTCGGGCTATGCTATGGACCTCGCACGGGCCGTCGTGCTACATGAGAGGCCCAGGTCAACGGCCTCCTTGCAGCTGCTCGACTTGTTCGTTTAATAATTAGATATTTAGATTCGATCAATCATACGTGATCGTTGTTAACCTTCACTTTTCTTTCGGGGCAAATTCAAAAAAAAAAAAATAGTGGGGTGAAGAATTTTTGCTGTCCAAAAATAAATCGAATGTTTGTATATGTCCGAAATTAGTGCGTGTAAGCACCTATAAAAATATAAGATATATCATCATCTTCACTAGTTAATTAATTCAAGCTATAGCTAGCTAGTAGCTTTTATTTATTTAGAAAATGGAAAAAGTCCTGCCTCTGCTACCGCACACTGTCAAGTCCTCCTTGGCTGGACCTGGGCACGCACACACAGAGTGTGGTTTACGTAGTAGTCCAATCTCATCACGTACGCGCGAATCCCCGTTTTATACGGAGAGAATTCTGTATTTGGCACCGAAATAAATCACTCTTTCGTATTTGGCACTGAAAATTTTGAACTTCCTTATCTAGAATCAACTTGAAAATTCCTTCTATATATGGCACTTCCGTCCATTTGATGAGTAACAGTGTCAAGTGCCACCTAAAATGACATATATGCCATTCTATGTACCAGCAATATGTAGTGCCAGATAGGAAAAGAATAAATGGATATAATATTAAATAAGGAAAGCACAAATATCACAAATAAGAAAAAGAATAAATGCCATAATGTGAAAGCAGATCTTTGTCGAAGACGAAGCCCTTAGGAAACAATGAACAAAACGCAAAGCTACGCTTCAGCGGCATGGACAGGTGGTCGTAGCTCACCTTCAGCACCTCTAGTACCAGATTCTTCACCTCATTGTCAGCCCACAAGTCGTTATTCAGGACTTCATCCCAGTGCTTCCAGCTGGTTGAAGCACCCAGGGCACTACCAGCTGCCTCTGCCGCCAATGGCAAGCCCTGACATTTCTTCGCGATCTTCTCACCGATCTCTACAAGTTCTTGGTCGACGTTGGCATCACTATTCGGCAGTGCCCGTCGCTGGCATACACGCCAGCAGTCTTCATCTGACAAGCATTTGAGATGATACACCTTGGTGCTCACCATCCTGGTAACCTTGTTGCTCCTCATCGTCACGGCAACCGCGCTCCCCGGAGCGCAGCGGCTCAGCGGGGCCGTCAGGCTGTTCCAGTGGCTGGGATTGTCATCCCACACGTCGTCGAGAACGATCAAGCACCTCTTCCCCGCAAGGTGCTCGACTATGAGCTCATGAAGCGTGCTCAGCTCGCCGCACTCCGGGCGCGATCTGGTGACCGCCTCGACGATCTTGCGGGTCACGCTGACGACGTCAAACTCCTGGGATACCCAAATCCAGTGTGTCAGTTCGAAGGACGATTTCACGGCCTCCATGCCGCAGACGTGCTGCATCAGAGCCGTCTTGCCGACGCCGGCCATCCCGACGATGGGCACGACAGCGTAGGTCCTCCCGCCGTCCGGCTCCCTGCGTACCAGCGCGGCGACCCTCTCGATGTCGCGCTGCCGCCCGTGGAGGCGCTCGGGACGGGGAAGCGCGCTGCTTGGCACGAGCGGGCTCGCCGCGGGCCGGGGCGCGTCGTCGCCGGGCCGCAGCCGGAGCTTCTTCCTGTCCGACGCGATCTCCTCGTACCTCGCCCAGATGCCGTCGATCTTGCCGCGGAGCCGCCTCGTTATCTCCTCGTACCGCGCCCCCCCGCCCCGCAAGATGGGGCCAACGCCGGCCGGCGAGCCCGCCCCGCCGCCGCGTCCCCTGCCGGAAGCTCGGCCTGCCCCGCTGCCGCGACCCCTGCTGGACCCGCGCGTCGATCTGCCACCATGGGGAGACCTCGGCTGAGGGACCAGCGCCTCTAGCTGAAGGAAGGGCGCCGTGATTTCCTAGGCGCCGGCGTTCGACGGCTCCTCCGCCCCATCCTCATCTCCTCCGGCCTCGGGTTTTGTTGTTTTTTCACAGGGAGAGAAGACTGACGGGGAAGAACGGGAGCGAGCGTGCGAGTTTCGTCCGTAGCGACTGTCGAGCAGGTGTGGTCGACCAAATTAAATAGAGGGGTATTTTGGTACTTATTAAGAAAAACTGACATGATCAACGAAGTCAACAAACGGATGAATGATCAAAATGGATGAAAGTGCCATATACGGAAGGAATTTTCAAGTTGATGCTAGATAAGAAAGTTCAAAATTTTCAGTGCCAAATACGAAGAGTGATTTGTTTCGGTGACAAATACAGAATTCTCTCTTTTATATGTGCAGTGCAGGTAGATTTCATTTACCGACCGTAGAACGACTCGTGATTTGATTCGTTGTTGGGTTCACGTTCTTGCTCTCGTCTGCAGTTGAAGAATGACACCACCAAGTTTCTGCTGCCGCTTACGACGCACCTTCAGAGGTATGTATAGTAGTTTATTAAATCGTCACAGGAGAATTGAAAGGATATATTAGTGACGAGCAATTCTGCTTTTGATCGATGACAACCAATTAATTAATTAATTAATGTCGGAATGTGACCTACTAGCTTCGGGAGGGAATGCAGCAAAAGCTTCCCCTCGTCCGTCGTTCATTCTGCCACCGCATACATACGAAAGCCAGAAAGTGACTCCAACTGGCGGACGTGTAAATATTTTGGATTCCAGTGTGAGCAGGTGACCACGGCACGGACGGAAGCGCCGTCACTTGCTTCTCGGGTGGTCTGGGCGCAGGGCAAGTTCGAGCTCGGCCTCTTCAGCCCCGGCGGCTGAGGCTCCGGCCACCGGTTCTACCTCGGCATCTGGTACAAGAACGTGCCCATGCAGACCGTCATCTGGGTCGCCAATCAGAGGACGTCATGGTCGGCATCGCCAGGCGAGCGCATCATCCACTGTGACATCAAGCCGGAGAACATACTTCTGGACAGGGCTTTCACGCCCAAGATCGCAGACTTTGGGATGGGGAAGCTGGTTGGGAGGGACTTCAGCCGGTCGCTGACCACGATGCGGGGCACCGTCGGGTACCTCGCGCCGGAGTGGATCTCCGGGCTGCCCATAAGCGCCAAGGCCGACGTGTACAGCTTCGGGATGGTGCTCTTCGAGCTCATCTCCGGGCGGCGTAACAACGCCGAGGGGCACGATATGATGGCGCCTCATCGGACGACGACAGGGACGGCGGCGGCGGCGACCGAGAGTCGTCCACGTTCTTCCCGGTATGTGCCGCGGTCAGAGTGGCGGAAGGGGACACGGCCGCCGTGGCGGACGCGCGGCGACGTGAGCGAGGACGAGCTGGAGCGCGCCTGCCGGGTGGCGTGCTGGTGCATCCAGGACCAGGAGGCCCATCGGCCGGCCATGGCGCAGGTCGTGCAGGCGCAGGTCGTGCAGGCGCAGGACGTGTTCACTGGTGGAATGTGAATGTGTAACTGATCTCCGCTGTACAGTTATACTAGTAGCATTTCTGGCGGGCTTGACGATCCCATCAAATGAGCATTGATGAAGTTTTGACACCGAAGCCGCCATGCTTTGTCAGTTGTCACTACTAGATCGAGTGTACTTCCTCCGTAACGGTAATACAGGTCGTTTTAGGGGTTGGCAGGGTTTTCACATATTGAAGTCGTTTTAGCTGTTTGGTTCCTTGCTTGGACGAGAATGCCCCCGGTATCTTTGTTTCCTGTTGTCCTCATTCACGAGGAGCATTAAAACCGTGTCTCTACTGTTGTCGTCGCCTCCGCTCCCGCGTCTCTTCGGTTGCCTCCGCCTTGCTTCCCGTTTGTGAACGAAGCGTCGGACGAAACAAGTGCCATGGGAAAAAAATCGAGCACCACCAGAGATCCTAAAATCGTGCCATGCAAAAGGGAAAAAAATCAAGCGCCAAAAGGAAAAAAAATTGAGATAAATTAGAGATCCTAAAATCAGGCCATGCAAAAGGAACAAATTGAGCGTGAAAAGGAAAAAAAAATCACACCACCAAAGATCAAACATTGCTCCTCTTGCCTGGGCTTCATGGTGCTAACCAGCCCAGCTACGAATGTTTGTTAAATGAAAAAAAAAACCATGATTTTGTTTAATAAGGGTAAACACGGAAAAATACACCCTAATTAATCACTCCTTGATATGCTATAAATCTTGTCCAAAATGACCTATTTGCCGGTATGGAGGGACTATATTTGTCGGGGTCATAAACCGGGGGTCCCCAATGGACCCGCTTCCTGCAAAACTCGGCCCAGCAGGCGGCGCAGCAACAGCACGCGCCTGGGCCGGCCCAGATACATAATGACAGGCCGAGACAACGATCTGGTCCCCGACCGGAAGGCCTAGCCAAGGTGGGACCACAGTCCGACTCCGACCGAGGATACGCCGGACCTCTGCTCGTTGCTCTTTCCCCACTGAGACGGTCGGGACCAACTGGGAACGACTGACCGGGGACACCCGCTTCGGTGTGCGCTCGGGGAGCAGGCGGAGCAAATAAGGTAAGGCGCTCAAGTCAACCGCAATACTGAGGACTATACCCTACCATGCTCTGTGCACCTGCAGGACGGTGCCATTGGGGCATGTCAGGCGAACACGGTAAAACCTGCCAGACGCGTCAGAGTATAAACAATATTGTGGGCAACGTCGTTTGTCGTACCAGGCGAACATGGTAGAGCCTGCCAGATATGTCTGAATATAAACAGTATTGTGGGCAACAATACTAGGCAGCACACGCATACACTATTTCTCTTTTTCTCTGACTTGTAAGGCTATCCCCTTCAACAATAAAAGGGGATGAGCTCTCTTCTAAAAGCCCCCCCTCCCGAAGACTGGTCGACTCGACAGCTCAATAGCTATAGGACTCGACAGCTACACAGTCTACACGCTCTCAACAGCTAATAAGCTCGGACACACAGAGCATATGTCATCACTTTGCTGATATAAAAGAAGAGTTAAGGAGGAGACAGAAAGAAATTGTTTGTTAGGGCACTCCCAACCCAGAAATTACTCCCTCCATACTGGAAATTAAAGTCATTTTAGACGAGGTTTGAGTCAAACATTGGGAAGAATATAAATCATGAATAACTTTTAAGTTGTTGAGTTTGAAAATGTGAGAACCATATGAATAGATTTGTCTTGAAAAATACTTTCATAAAATATACATATATTACTTTTCAATAAATATTTTTATAAAAAAAGAAGTCAATGTTATGTTTTAGAGACCGTGTCGCTGTCCAAAGCGACTTTTTTTAGCAACCTAGAGGGAGTATGTGATTTCTATGTTCATTAGTTATGATACCAACTAAGCAAAAAGAATGTGACACTGCAATTAAAGAAGAGAGAGATGTGGGGTCACACCTGGCATCCCACCATCGTTGACAACTGGGAGGGGGGAGGTAGGCTTTCCCAAGGTAAAGGAAAGAGAGGGTTCTGGAGCCACGCGGTGGCAAAAAGTGGGAAATAAATTTTGGAGTAAATGCTCATTAATTCATAAATGTCATGTCCGGAAAAGTGACGCCCCAGGTATTTATAGACCATACGTGGGGGTGATGTGAATTTACATTACGGCAAGTCACTGAGACAACTTGCTTGTCTGAGCCCAGGGGAACAGTCGTAACTCTACACACACTAGCCAACACTCCTGATGACAGTGTTTCTAACGCCACCTCGGGCCCATCGGGCTCTCATTACCCTTGCGCCAGTTCGTTATGAAGATGTCGAAGGTGTCCCCTCTCTCGAACGTGGCTACGTGGCCTCCTTCGATGGCGAAGTTGTAGCTGCATAGAGTTAGGAGTGACTTCGCCCATAGGGCCTTCACTCTGGGTGCAACCCACGAGGGTGCTGTGGCCAAAGGTCTCAGCTAACCCGCGAGTATCAGCCAGGGTGAGGGTTAGCCGGGGTCCTTCACCCAATAGTAGCCCCTCAAAAGTTTGGTCCGGGTAGACGGGCCAGAGCAACGTCTTAGGTGGGAAGAGTGAGGCGGAGCCAAACCCGAGGACCCACGGTCTCAGCGACACTTCAGCTGCTGCTAGCTAGTTTTGTTGGGCCTTAGGAGTTGAGTGGGCTTGTGAAAGGTGATTTGGTTGTGTGGACGTCTGTCGTGCTTCTTTGATTCATGGGATTTTTCCTAGTTTATTTCCTTTTGTGCGATTGGGGTGTTGTCCTGTAAATAGGGGTGGTGGGTGAAAGTCTTTTACTGTTTGATCATTTGGTGTGCACTTTTGCTGCCATGATGAGCTTTGTTGCGATGATTTTTCCTGGTTGATCAAAGGTTTGGTTGGTTACTTTCGTTGAGCTTTGTTGTGAAGGTTCCTTGGTTGAGGTTGGTTTAGGGAAGGTTTGTTTGCTTGATTCTTTTTGGTGTTTTCATCTTTTCTCTTTTTTATCCTATGTTGTTATTTGACTTTTGACTTTTTGTTTTTTGCAGTGAGATGTCTCGTGTCAAAGGAGATGGCTTGGTTGTGCGGGCGAGAGTTCCCGATGTTCCAAGCGTTGGACGGCCACCGGATCAGCCACCTCAGGCGGCCGCGACGACCAAGAAGGAACTACGGACCGAGGCGCTGCTGGTGCATGCGTGCACGGCGTGTGGGCTAGGGTTCTCCATAGGCCTAGCCCCTTGGTGGCCACATGAGGAGGCACCATGGTGGTGGGGCCGCTAGTACTACTACTACCCAAGAGGAGGAGGAGGAGGACTGTGGTGGGTCTGGTGATGTCTATGTTGTGGACCTCGCATGGGCTGTTGTGCTACATGAGAGGCCCTGGGCGATGGCCTCCTTACAGCGGCTCGACTTGTTCGTTTAATAAGATCAAATCAATTAAAAACATATTGGGGGTGCACAAGTTTTTCTGTCCAAAAAATAAATCAAATATTTGTATATGTCAGAAATTAGTGCATGTAAGCATCTGCAACTGCAAGTATATGGGACGCCTAGCCACCGACCCGGGTGGCTAGAAGTCGTCCACCGACCCCTCCTCCCCCTAGGAAAAATAATGTCTGGCTCATGTGCTTCACTAAATTAGTCCCAATCCAGTTTTTTTGTTGGGCCTTGAGGACAGCACAGAGTACAAGCATGCATGTGAAACAAAATTTGCTGACATCATCAATGTGCATATTGTTTGAAAGTTAAAAAAGTTATATTTCCTAAACAGAGTTTCAAAGTTAAATTTCGATTGCGCCACTATGTTCCTTACTATAAATATTTCAAATCAAGATCCCACTTGGGTATATTTAAAAAAAAACTATTCACATGTATACTACCAAATATCATAATACGTCGTAGAACATCATATTAACACTACATGAATATCACAAAATATAGCATAAAACATTATATGTATACTACATGAACATCAGATATATCATGAAAATGTAAAGAATAAAAAAGTAAAAAATAAAATTAGTGAAGTAATTAATTATAGTCAAATAAAAAAATAAAAATGCTACCGAACATCAGAAAATATATCCTAGAAGATCAACGTATACTACCGAACATCACAAATACATCATAGAACCTTACATTAACACTACAGGAACATCACAAAATATAGCGTAGAATAACATATGTATACTACATGAACATCAGATATATCATGAAAATGTAAAGAATAAAAAAGTAAAAAATAAAATTTGTGAAGTAATTAATTATAGTCAAATAAAAAGAAGAAAAATGCTACTGAACATCAGAAAATATATCCTAGAAGATCAATGTATACTATTGAATATCACAAATACATCATAGAACATTACATTAACACTACAGGAACATCACAAAATATAGCGCAGAACAACATATGTATGCATCACATATATCATGAAATGTAAAATAAAAAAAATTAGTGAAATAATTAATTAGAGTCAAATAAAAAGAAGAAAAATGCTACCGAACATCACAAAAAATATCCTGGAACATCATACTTACTGAACATCACAAATACATCAGAGAACATCACATTTTACGCTTTCATGGACATCACAAAATATAGCATAGAACATCACATGTATACTACGTGAATATCATATATATTATGAAATGTAAAAAATAAAATTAGTGAAGTAATTAATTAGAGTCAAATAACACGGAAGAAAAGATGCAAAACAAAAACATGAATAACAAATGCTAAATATATAGAAAAAATGAATAATTTAAATAGGGAAAGAAAAAGAAAATTAACGAAAATCAAATGAGAAAACATGGCATGTATCCAATCTAATATATAAAATAAAAACCATAAAAAATTAAAAGTAAGTCATGAAAATGATTAAAATAAAAATTAGAGATAAATAAAAATAGAAAATAAAAAAGTCTATATAAAACAGGACTAAAAACTCAAAAATAAGAATGATATAAAGAAAAATAATTAATTAGAGTAAAACTAAATAGAAGAGAAAAAGAAAAACTAGTCGAAAAGAAGAATAAAATACGACATAAGACAAAAAAGAAAAG